TATTGAGAGAGAGGCAGAGGAAGAGAGATTTTTAATATTTATTTTCTTTATGTATTTATTTTTTTAATATTTTTAAATTTTAATTTTTAATATTTTTATATTTTAATTTTAAATTTTAATTTATTTTTAATATTTTAATTTTTATTTATTTATCTATTTTTCAATGTTTTATTTATTTTGGGACAGAGAATGAGCATGTGAGCGGGGGAGGGGGAGGGCAGAAAGAAAAGAAAAAATGACTGAAACTCAGGCTCTGAGCTATCAGCCCAGAGCCTGTGGGGGAGGCCGAGGCTCCTGTGGACCCTTGAATCGTGACCTTCAGAGGCAGTGGTCGGACTTTAGCTCAACAGAGCTAAACCACCAGGCATATAATATTTATTTTTTTTTATTGGTGAGAAACCAGTGTGTATGTGGTCTGGAGGGAACTTAGTGAGGGGGACAAGGATCCCAACCCAGGCTATCACATGACCAGCAGCAAGCCCGATGCCTTGGAGGGTGGGGGAGGGGGGAGGGGGGGGGAGGAGGGGCAGGCTGGGGGACTCAAACACACCAACCGTGGTCGTGACCTGAGTCAAACACACAGCCAAACTAGGTACCAGGAGCCCAAAGTACAGCTTCTTCAGTCTTTGTCTAGTCTTTACCCAATTTGACTTAGGTGGAAACACCCCTTTAACTTCCTCAATGTGATCTTTGTCCGATGTCCTTCACTGCTCCCTCCTGGAGCCAGAAGCCCTGAGTTTTAACTCAGCTTTGCTGGAATGGTTTCTATGGAAGTAATTATAATGGAACCTGCCTATGCAGAGGCGTGAGAAATAGTAAATAATGGGAAAAGGTGGGTATATGGAAGTATAAAAGCCCATAAGTAAAATGCCATTTTACTACCACCTCCGACCTTGTTGCAGTTGCAAAACCTTCTTCATGGTGCAGGTGAGAATGCTGCTGCCCTTTCCCACAGGGATGGAGGTGCAGTCGAGCGGCGGGCCTCCAGCTGCAGTATAGGTCTGCAGAGGCTCCAAGCAGAGCATTCTGGGTGCCACCCAAGCCCGTGTGTGCTGAGGAACCTCGGTCCCAATGCTGGAATTGCCATAAGCCACATGCCCCTGCCGCCACCCCCACCCAGTCTGCCAGCCTAGACTACGACCCTGCACCTGAGTTAACTGTATGGGAAGTATACAGAAAACGACCTGGTCTCAGAATTGGGCCATAACCGCTAGAAGGAGATGTACTACCTCTACGAACCCCAAGAGGCCAAGCCCTGGATTCACCTCATCTTCTATTTCGTCTCCAGTGCCTGGCACGTAATAGGCACCAAAGATTTCCTGAAGAAGAACTGACTGCCATGGCAGCTGATCTCCTCTGCAGAGCAGTAAATGGAAACTGAGACACAGGGTGGGAACGAATCTGGTTCTTACATTAGGATAAGGAGCAGGACCACAGAAGGAGAGGCAGGTTGTATTCTGAGCGAGGAGGATCCAAGTTTTCGCTGAAATTTCAGTGTGAGCAGTATTCTGTATGTCTAGACTAAGCAAATGGAGATAAGAGAGGTTGGGGGAAGGGAGCTGATGATAACATAGTTGTCAAGCGGAGGTGGGGCTTCTTCCCCGTTCGACGGAGTCCTCTGCCGAGCAGGCTTGGGGGCTATGTACGTCGAAACCCACATGCACACAACCCTTGGCCATAATGTCATTATGCAAAACCAACACTCAGCGCATCCTTTAAGGCATGAGTAAAAACTTGAAGTAAAAATCAAAGAACAATTCTCTCTCTAATTTCAATTCTGCTTCTAAACTGGTTCTGTTAGACATTATCCTTCAGGAATGAACCATTCATCCCCCACACAGGTGACGAGAAGGACACAGAATTATTTTCATGTAATCTGGAGTTTGAGCGTAGTATGCTAGCGGGGTTGCTGCATTTTTAACACCGCGTGGCGATAAGGATATTCAGTCAGGCTCTTGCTGGCTTCACCCTCAAGCCCCTCAAGTCGAGCCCCACCTTCAGCTTACGTTTGTAAAGGCTTCAAGCTTAGCAGGGACCCGTGGTTTCGTACTGCCGGTCAGGTAATCCCATCTGGCTCATTTAGACCAGCGACAGAAGCAAATTTGATTTTCCAGAATGGCAGTCCTCCGTAGCCCTTACTTCATGTTGCTTCATTCATTCAACACAGTTACCAAGCACCTACTATCCCAGGCATTATGCTGTTAATATGGATTTTTTAAGTCCATACTCTCATTATGAACTTGTGATCAACCTTCAAAGGGATCTTTGGAAAAGAGATGGTAAATTTAAGAACAGCTATTCTGCTTTGTGGATATACCTGAGGCTAATACAAAGAAGGGAGAAGCTAAAAATAAATCCAGGAGAACAAGTCTGTAGTCTTTTAGTGAACGCAGACATGAAACAAGTAAGCAACCGTAAGCTCTAATAAGTGCAAGAGAATTCTAGAGAGGGGAGTAATTAATTCTGCTGGGAAGAGACCAGACAGCAGGGTAGGAGAAACTTCTTGTAGGAGGAGATTCCTAAACTGGGTTTTGTGTGTATGTGTGTGTGCATGGGGGTGGGGGTGTCTCCAGGCAGAAATCAATGTGTTGAAGCAGAGAGACATAGAATAGGAGAACCAGAGAACTAACTGTGGGCAGCTTGGCATTGATGGGGTATGAGACGGGCAGTGGTGGACGATGGGCGAGGCCGGAGAAGTCAGCAGGGAGCATATATGCTGAGGCGTGTTGGACTCAGTGTTACTCTATAGGTCATAGGGGGTCGTGGAAGGGTTTTGAGCTGGGGGCTCATTTTAGGTCCATCCCTCGGGCAGCCATTTGTGGGGCGTTAGGAAGCCAGTCTAAAGGCGGGGGCATCAGTTCGAGACTGCACTGGTTTCTAAGAGACAGTGACACACTGATGGCATGTCCCATGAAGTCAAGCGTGGACAAGTCACTTGGTCACTGTGGTCCTCAGTTGGCCCTACCGATGCAGTGGGCTCGTTATGCACTAGTGATAAACCTCCAAAGGGACCTTTGGAAAAGACAGGGTAGGTAAATTTAAGATCGAGTAGTCTTCGTGGATATACCTGAGGCACTTTCAAAGAAGGAAGAAGCTATAAATAAATCCAGGAGCACAGACTCCTTCCTCAGATCCACTAGAACTCAGATTCACTAGACTTCCCCATGATGCCCAGGCTGTGAGGGATGCTTTACTCTGCTTTTTCATTCAAGACATCAGGAGCAGCCGGGGGGCTCAGTCGGTTAAGCGTCCGACTCTTGATTTTGGCTCAGGTCATGATCTCACAGTTTGTGAGCTCTAGCCCCGCGTCCAGCTCTGCACTGACGGTGCACAGCCTGTTTGGGATTGTCTCTAAGTAAATAAATAAACTAAAAAAAAAAAGAGAGAGAGAGAGAGACAGAGGAGAGCATCCTTGAAGGTAGCTGAGCTGGACCAGCCTCATTCCCCTTTGACATAGCCCTCTGTGGAATCTCCAAAATGGTCTGGGCTAACCTCCCCACCCCATCCCCACCCCCCAGCGGAGCTTGGGAACTTAGCTTGTCCGGAATCAAATTCTGGTGGGCAAGTGGCACTGAGGTCGAGGAGTAAAGGAAGCAGAGAGCAAACTGTGAGTACTCAGCAGCCGGAAGCAGAAAGAAGGCACAGCGGGGGTGGGGCTGGCGCCAGGGTGGGGCTGACCGCCGCTCTCAACCATCTGACTTGGAAAGGGGCAGAGGCCTGAAGGGAAAGAAAGTCAGAATCACCCCCGCAGGGAGGGGAGCGACTGGGGTCCTCATTAGGTCACTACCCAGGCCACCTCAGACCTGTTAGCAATCTCTCTGACCTTGTCAAAAGCTCCTTCCCGCCTCCTTGGTTAATAGGCCGGAGTTCACCAGGCAAAAGAACATGAAGCATTGCACTTCGTGTTTTTCCTCCCCCACCCGACAGCTTCTATCGTCTTGCTGATCTTGCACCCTTTGGTTTAGGGTCCTGGATCCACGCTTGGCATTTCGGAGCTTGAAGTAACTTTAGAGATTAGTCTGCTTCTCTCCGGTTTAGAGATGTGGAAACGGAAGCCGAGGGACGTGACGTCCCTTGCCCAGGAAGGATCCCAGGGATGCCCGTCTAATGTACTTGCTGCTTAGCCCAGGGCCGTCCTTCTGTCCATTTCGCCAAACGAGGCGCCAGCCCCAGGGACTAGGGCTGGAATTAGAACTGGATTCCGTGTAGCCTGTTCGCCCCCGGCGTGGCTGGTTTGCGGGCTTCCTCCCCTGCGAAGTGGGGTTAGTGTCACCTTGCAAAGTTGAGGCCAAGGTTATCGAAAACGGCACTGTTAAGTGCGGCAGTCACGGCACACAGTAGGTGCTAAATAATGTCTTCCCCGAAGAGCATGCACCACGCCAGCGTGTGGGGTGGGGGATGGGAAGTCAAGTCGGGAGCCACATTCCGGCCTGCGGCCTGGGTGGGTACGGGAGTGGGAAGAGCAGGACGGCTGGCCTTCCCTGGGGAATGCACTGACCACGAGAGTATCCCGTCCCTTCAAGCCCAACCGGTGGGGCTGGGGACAAGCGGTCCCCGGAGGGTCTGATTAGGCTGTGGGTGTGCGGATAGTGGGTGTGGGGGCCCAGGCCTCCGAAGACGGGAGGGCTCTGCGATCAGTTCGCTTGTCTCCTCCCCAAGGCCGACGTGCGGGGTGGAAAAGAGGAATAACGTTTGAGGAGGTCACGTGGCCTCGGGCCTCCTTCCTCGGGATCGGGGCCCCGGTCCCCAGCCTCCTCCTGAGGGCAGCCGCGCCGTAGTAAAACGCGCACCGCCCGCGTGTCAGACAGTTGGGTTGCCCTCCCGGTCCCCGCCCCTCGCTCCCTTGCTCACTCTGAATCTCATGCGTCTGGCTGACCGTGCGCCTCTCCCAGCCTCGGGGTCCTCATCCGTAACCCGAGGAGACGGCTCCTCCCCAGACGCTTGTACTCAGAAAGCAGCGCCCGGGAACTCCTAGACGCACGCTGTGCCTGTCTCTGCAGCCCCCCTGGTTACCATTCGCTCTTCTGCCTCCGCACAGAACCTCCTGCTTCCATCCGCGCCGCAGGGGCCTGATCTCCGGCCCCCTGGCAACTCGGCCCCCGTGCGCTTCCCACGTCGGCCCCACCAGGGGGCGCCGCCTCGCCCAGCAGCCGGGCCCTAACCTCCCGGGGCTGAGCCGGGCTAGACCGCCCCTCTCAGGGGCGGGCAGGGCGGGCATGCCCGCGCTGGGTTCCGTCCCCTCGAGGTCTGCTACGCCGCCGCCCCTCCCCGTCCATGCCGCCGCGCGGCGTCCCCGCGCCTCGAGTCCCAGGCCCCCGCCTGCTGGCCCGGTCCCCCCCCCCCCCCGGGCGGCGACGGCGTGCCGTTCGCGTACCGCCCGCTCTCCTCGCGCCTCGGCTTCGGGGGCGCGCTCCGGGCAGCTCAGGTGAGGCCGCCAGGGGCGTGCGGACCGGCCAGCCGGCTGAGGGCGCCCCTGAAGGATATGCGCGCGGGCTGCCGAAGTTCCGGCGTTGGTCGCCGGGCGGCGCCCGCGCCCGGCTGCGTTCCCGCGCTGCCTGCCCCTGCCTCGCTGCTCGCGGTCGGACAGATCACTTCAGCTGCCGAAGGCGGATCTGTTAGCTGCTGCGGCTGCTGCGGAAGCCAGGAAAACTGGAGGGCACCGGAGGGCTCCCGGCCCCAGTTCATCCTCTGAGGAGTGTCGAGAGGGTCTCCCAGGAGTCCTCTAGGCCTGCTTCCCTCAGGTTGCTCCTCAGTGTCCTGAGCCAGGCGGGGCTCCCCAGGCAGGCTCCCTCCTATGTCTGTCTTCATTTCTGATTGTTCTGTCTTCTCTCTGTCCCTGGCAGAAGGCTCTGCACTCCTCCTTGTTCTCAGCCTCTATCTTGTTCTCTGGTGTTCCTTATTCTCTTTCTTCTCATAGTTTAGTCTGTTGGATATCCCTTGTGTTTGATCCCCAGGTTCTCCTGGTTTGACTCCCCATCGCTTGTTCACTCAGGTTCCTTCCAGTTCTATCCTTGAGCTTCTCCTCCAGAAGTTTTCCTTCCTGTTTCAGGGTTTCCTGTTTCTAATTCTTCCTTGTGTAACTCTAGCTCTAGAGTGGCCCCTGCCCGCCACCGGCGCGCTCCCCCAGCCCTCGTCACCCCCGCTTCCCGCCCGACCCCGGCTTCACTGCCCCATCCCAGCGCAGCCCCGGAGCCCACGGGGCCCCCCTCCCCCTTTCCTCGCTGCCATCTGCCTCCGCTGCCCCCTGCCCCTGCGCTGGACTCCGGCCACCACCACACCCCCACCCGACACGCCGGCTCGCTTCGGGGGACCGGCGTCCTATCAGGAATGACCCTCTTTTCCCCGGACTAATGAGGCTCCCACCCATCTCACCCTAGTTCACCCGAGTGGGAAGTGAGGGAGAAACTCTGGAGACCTGCATTTGGGCGTGTGATGGGGGAGGGGGCTGGAGGAGGAGGGGGGGAGGGGAGCTGATTGAGATTCTCTCCAGTGAGGACTGGCAGAGCGGTGAGCTGCTCAGACCTGGCCAGGGTGGAGGGCCGGCTTGCGACAGCTGGGACAGGGGTTTCAAGGCACTGAGAGCACCTGTGTCTCTTTCCCTGGCTCCCTTGAGCTGAAGAAAGTGAGAGAGGAGGAGCTGGAGCCCGGGGAGAGTTGGCCAGCCGGCCTGGGAGGGGGAGGCCGCGGTGGGGGGCTGGGCCAGGGCCCTGGGGCCTGCCTGCCTGGCAGTGGTGGGGCACTGCGGCCGGAGCTTCTCCCCCGCTGGACCTTTGGCTGCACGGCTCTTGGCACCTCTACTTTATGCTGCCATCTTCCTCCTGGTGCTGTTGTCTGGTGATGCCACGAGGTGCCACCTCCCTGCCTCCCTCCAGTGGCTCTCCTGGGCATGTCTCCCAAGGGCCTGGGTTGTCTGGAAAGAGGAGGGGAGCTCTGGGCACGGCTGGGGCCCTTCGAGACCAGACCAAGTGGTCCTGGGACCGGCCAGGAGTACGGAGTCCTGCCAGGAACAAAGAGAAGTACCTTCACTTAAGCTCCCTATGGTCACCTGGGTGACGGGGACACTTCCCGGAGCATCTGCAAACAGCAGGCTGTCCCCTGGGATAGAGGCGGTCTGGGCCGGCAGTGGGCAGCTGAGAGAGCAGTGTGGTCCCACTTTGCTCCCTGAGTGTCTGTGCTCGTGTGATCGGGGCGAGGGGTCTGGAGAGGTCAGCCGTGTTCCGCTCCCACCTGGGACGGAAGCCCCAGGAACTCCACCGGGCATCATCAGGCTGGTTGTATTTGCTGAAGCTGCAGCCCATGTCTCATCATTAATCAGGTTTATTATTTTCCACACTGGCTGGATGTGTTCCTCAAGGTCGCGACCCTTTGGAGAGTTAATCTAATATGCACACATTACAGTGTCTGGGTTTGTTTAATTTTCCGTATTTTGTTCATTTCTTTCGGCACGAACCTTCCGCGGGGAGCCATGGCCCGGGCTTGCCCACCAGCTTCCTGCCTGCGTGGCCAGCTCCGTCCCGCAGTCCTCCTGTGGGCCTGCCACCGGAGACCAGAGGCCACGCCGGTCCCCGGAGCTCTTGGCAGTGCTGGGTGGGGAAGAGGTGGGGTGCAGCAGAGGGGTCCTGGGGAGGACATTCTGGTTTCTCTTTGTTTTCCCCCTCCCCACCCCCCACCCCCCCCCCCAGGCGTCTTGATCATTGGCTGACATTTTCTCCAGCACCAAAAGTTCTTCGTAGACACTGGGTCTGCATCTTGGTCTGGCTTTCCAGTCTGCTTTTCCCCGGGGATGGAGAGGGAGGGAACTTTGGTGGAGTGGGAGAAAAGTGGGGACCCTGGAGAAGAGGTCCCAGCCGCTGGGCCGCAGGGGCTCCTGGAAAGAGATGGAAGGAAGGGAGAAGGGCAGGAAGACCTGTCCTGGGTGAGGGAGGGTAAAGCTTGCTGGAAAGCAAGAGGAGCAGCAAGTAGGAAGTGGCGGCTGTGTGGCCGGGGTGGGGGGGCAGTGGCAGTGAGCGTGTGGGAAGAAAGCACCTTCTGTTGCTTCTGCGTAGTACGAATCCCTTATGCGTGGAAAGAGTGCCACGGGTTTCCAAATGCTTCATCTGATCTCTACTAGGGCCCTACAAGCATTTCATCTGTACTGTCACCCTCAAGGAGGTATCGTTGAGCCCCCAGAAACCGAGGCTCGGAGAGGTCAGATGACCTGTCCGACGCCCTGCAGCCACTCCCGAGGCTGCCAGACTCCCGGCCCGGTGCTCTTGTGCCGCAACTTGTCTCTGCTCTTCAGCCCTCTCTCCCCCCAGCCCATGCTTCGGTTCATCTGTACGTTCTCCGCTGTCTGCTCAACATTCTCTCCTCCCCGTGGGGTGGGCCGGTCGTTCGTCCCCACTTCCGCCCCAGGTCTCGGATCTGGCTGATTCTTGGTGCTGCACCCTCAGCCCCTCGCCTGGCTGCTCCAGCACCCCGGATGTCCGGCCATCCCCACCCGAGGCAAGCTCTTCCTCTTGACGGCCTCCTGCAGAGAGTTCCTGCTCCTTCCAGGCACTGGTCTGGACACCTCGGACCCCTTGGTTCTGTGTCCTTCTGCCTCCCCCGCTCCACTCCTCTGCGCCCCACCCTCTTGGCCCTCGGTTCTGGACAGCGGTGCCCAGCCTGACCTTTCCTTGCCCACTGCCACTGTCCCGCTTGGGGCTAGCAGCTCACCCCCAGGTTATGCTAACACAGCCTCCTCCCTGGGCAGCCTACAGGCTCCGCTTCCCAGCACCTGCTGCCGCACCCCCTTTCCTACGAAAGATGGTGCTTGTAACATGTGACCACGTCTCGGGGAGTCTCAGTGCCCCGCCCCACCCCCCAGGTTCCTGGTGTCACTCTCTGAGTGACCTTGAACGAACTGCTTAACCTCTCTGAGCCTCACTGGCCTCACCCATATAATGCTGAGAGCACCTGCAGCTGGGCTCCTCTTAACGCTGCCCTCTTGCCGCGTTGGTTTCGCTCCCAGCTCCTGCCTGCTACTGCTGCTTATCCGTCTCTGTTTGTCGCCCACCCAGAAGGCAAGTCCCTTGAGGAGCCAGGCCTTTGCCTCGTGCCTTTTCGGTCCCTGATTCCTCACCGAGCGCGCGCGGTCATTCAACACGCATAGATTGGCCCCTTGCTTAGAGTAGGAACGTCAGAAGTAGTTGTTGGTTGGTTGGAACGTTCGGTTACAGAAAGCAGGGTATGCCTTACGTTTAACACGTCCACCATGAGAAAACAGTTTATGCCACGGTACCGGGCGAGGTAACTCGTGGGAAGGATGGAGGGAATCCGTTTGAACACTGTATTGACCGCACGCTCTGCTCATTTCACGGAGTCGCCCCAGCTACCTGGTGAGTTACACGTGAGCACCTCCAGTTCTACAGATGGGGGAGGGGCGCCCATCGGAGCCACGTCATAGCTCAGGGAGCGCTCCAGAACCCCACCACTCCCTTCCCCTCTCCCTGGGCCTCAAACTGGGAGGGGGCGGCTCTTTGTGAAAAGATTCGACACAGGTTTTCTTCGGACAGCTCAACGCTTCCGCCATTTACACACCTCCGCGAGGCAGGGCCCAGCGAAGCAGGTCTGGGGTTTGGGTGGAGAGCACAGGAGGACACACATGAGGGCTGTGTGGCCGTGCTCGGGCCACCGTGGTAGCTGGCGGCCGCATGGGGCTGGAGCTCGGTGAGGAGGAGGAAGGACTCGGTGGGCAAGGCGGGCTGCCCAGGCAGAGTGGGGGCCGGGGACGTCCTGAGGGCCGGGGAAGAAGGGGCCTGGCTGGGCAGGGGCAGGGCAGAACTGACTCAGAGGTAACCAGCCTTGAGAGCCAGAAGGAAAAGGTTCAGGTTGGTGCATCGGGTTCGCGGAGGAACCCTGGGCGGAGGAGTGAGGGCGAACGCACGGACAGATTGGGAACAGCAGATGAGGGAGGGGCAAGTGTCGCGGAGAACTTTGAGATTTACAGCCCCGGAGGATGGTGATGCCGCATCAGAAATAGGGAAGCCAGAAGGGGAAGCCGGCCTGAGGGAGAGCTGACGAGTGTGTTCCCAGACATGCTGTGAGGCAGGCGGGCGGGAGCATTTGGGGATGGAGCCTGGGTGGCCTGGGGACTCTGAGCAGCCTTGTGCGAGGCGGGCGCCTCCGACCTGGCACCAGGCTGCTGTGCGGGAAATGACTCCTGTGTGTGTCACCCCAAATTGAGGGCCCAGCCTCTGAGCACGTCAGCTCACAGGAGTGTGTCCCCAGTGCCTGGCGCTGGGCAGGTGCTACATGAGTATTTGTCTGGCACCAAACAAAAAAAAAAAGTCCTGTTTACAGTAGAGATTCTGTTCCAGAGCCCAGGAACGCGATTATGAGAGGGGAGGAGGCCACCTGGTGAGGCTTCCGGGGTGGTGCCGGGGTTTCCTGCCACCTCAGTTTACTTTTTGCGATCTCGGGCACATAACACACCTGACGTCACGGAGCGCCTGACTCCTGATGATCATCCTCTGCTGGCTCTCTGGAGGGGGGCAGGTGCAGGGGGCACGACTCCCAGGATGGAGGTGGGGGGGCACAGCCGGTGGTCTGGGAGAGCGGCTGCGGAGTAAACACAAGTTGAGAATGGGCGTTTAAGGGCCAGAGTTAAAGAGGAGGATTTAATAGAATGAGAAATCAATAGCCCAGAGGAGGCTAAGATGCGAAAGTGAG